GCTTGCCGGGCAGTGGGTAGGTGACCCTGGTCAGAGCCCACTTGGCTATCTGTGGGCTGGAGGCTGGAGGGACAGCAGAGCAGGGCTGGGGGGCGGGGCCGGGGAGGGGCGGGGCCGGGGATGGGAGGGGCGGGGCCGGAGATGGGAGGGGCGGGGCGGGGCCGGGGCGGGGCGGGGCCACAGCCCACTTGGTCAGTGACAAGCACTGGCTCCACTTCAGCAGCCTCTGCCCTGCCAGAGCCAGGCCGTTGCCTCCACTGCTGCGCCCTCGCCTGGCACAGGGTAAGGACGGGCACGGCCGTGGGCGTGGGGGCCGGTGAGGAGGGTGCGGGAATGGGCTGCGGTTATGGGGCTGGAGGGCTGCGGCCTTGGGAGGCGCTGGGGTGAGCAGGGACCCCCGCAGTGTGGCGAAGGGCGCAGGCCTCTGGGCACAGAGGTGGCCTGGGCGTGACACCACGTGTGGCCGAGCCTCAGTTTCTCTCGGTGAGATGCAGCTTACCGCTGGGCCAGCTATGATTGATCAGGAATGGCTCTCACCGGCCCCTGGGGCACATCTGGCCACTCCTGGACGGTCAGTGTCACACGGGAGGGGTCACCACGCAGTGACGCCCGGCGAGCGGAGAGCAGGAGGCTGCAGGCCGCCCACAGCGCCCAGAGCAGCCGCCTCCCCCACACACCTCCCCACGGCCCAGAGCGGCCCGCCGAAGGCCAGCAGGCCGGGCCGGGAGCCGGGCCGGGAGCCGGGCCGGGAGCCGGACGATGGCCGTGCACAGGGGGGCTCCCTGCACCAGACCCGCCTGGCCCCCTGGCCTTCGGGAAGCAGGACAATAACCGACGTGGCCCATCTCCCGGGTAAGGCTGCGGGCGGAGGTGCCACGGGAGCTGCTGGCGCCCGGCCACGGGTTAAACAAACGGAACGGGACTCACGGGAGAGGAGCTTCCTGTGTCTCTAGGAAACGAGCGCAGGAGCTGCAGCACCGAGAGGGCCTGCTCCGGGCAGCACCACCCTCCCTGTGAACGCAGCCTGACCCGGGGCGGGGGCCTGGGCGCTGGGAGGTGAGGGATGTGGGCTGGGCCCTGGTGGTCTCACGGTGTGAACGCACCAACTCACCAAGCAGCCGCTGACGGGCAGGCTGTGTGCTCCCGCCTCAGGGAGGGGGTTTGGAAACAAAAGGACAGACTGGAGCTGGGCGGTGGGGGAGGGTCCAGGGCACCTGGCCGTGAGCCAGGGCTGTGGGCACTCGTCTGGATACCCCGCTCCGCGCCTCGTGTGGTCTGACCCCCTGCCTTACCGAGGACGGGAGAGGGGTCCATTCACTCATTCACTCATTCATTCATTCATCCACTCCTTCACTCCTCAGAGCGTCTCCCTAACTGGTGAGCGAGCAGCAGTGAGGGCCCTCCCCCTGTGAGCACCTCCGCTCGTGGGCGGGAGACAGGTGCCCGGGGACAGGAGAGTCCGGGGACAGGTGCCCGGGGGACAGGTGCCCGGGGACAGGTGCCCGGGGGACAGGTGCCCGGGGACAGGAGAGTCCGGGGACAGGTGCCTGGGGACAGGTGCCCGGGGGACAGGTGCCCGGGGACAGGTGCCCGGGGACAGAAGAGCCCGGGGACAGGTGCCCGGGGACAGAAGAGCCCGGGGACAGGTGCCCGGGGACAGGTGCCCAGAGGACAGGTGCCTGGGGACAGGTGCCTAGAGGACAGGTGCCCGGGGAAAGGAGAGCCAGGGACAGGAGAGCCCGGGAGACAGGTGCCCGGGGACAGGTCCCCGGGGACAGGAGAGCCCGGTGACAGGTGCCCGGGGAAGGAGAGCCCGGGGACAGGTGCCCAGAGGACACACGCTGAGGTCAGAGCGGGCCAGACTGAGGCTGGCGAGGGCCAGGCCGGGCGAGGCCACAGGTACGTGGTGGGCCAGCACAGAATCGGAGTTAAATTTTACCCCTTGAATGGGCAGCGCTGGTGGCTGGGGAGAGGTGACCTTGCTTGGGATTGGACAGCCAGAGCTGTGGAGAGCGGCCCCGGCAGGAGGGGTGGCCGGGGGACGAGTGGAGGGGCTTCCTTTTAGAGGGTGGCAGGACCAGCCGAAACCGGTTTGGCTCAGTGGATAGAGGCGGCAGGACCAGACCAGCCTTCCCGAGGGTCAGGGGGGGAGGGGGCGTTCCCAGGGCACTGCTTTCCGGGAGCGCGGCCCTGTGTCGTTGGCCGAGGGACTTGGGTGCCGGCTTCCCCTCTCCCTATGGGTCCGGGCACACCTCCTCTGGAATTAGCACACGGCGGACAGACCCTCCCTCCCCCTGCACACCTGCCTCCGCGGAGCCCACGTGGCCTGTGGGACTGGAATCCACGCCAGCAGGTTCGGGCCATGGCTGGGGGGGTCACTCTGGCCCGGAGCCCACGTGAGCGCCATTGCCCTGCCGCCTTCCCTCGGACACGTGGGGCGTTCCTGCAGACACGCCGGCTCGGGCGCAGGGGAGGCGCCTGGGCGGGCTCTGCGGGCACCTGGGGGCTCGAAGTGGGCACACAGCGGCAAGGCCCTGAACCTGGGCGTTGGAACCAGAAACCCTGCAGTGAGCACCCCGGGCCTCCACATTGGGGGGGGGGGGGGATCCTCTCTGACCCTCTGTGTCCTCTTCGGGGCCATGATCAGACACGGCTCCGGGGAGGACTGTAACAGCCTGGAGAGACGGTGCGCACAGGGGCTGTGGGGGGGGGGGGGTGACGGGGAGGAACCAGGGCAGGGAGCAGGGCACAGCGTGGACATGGCGGAGGAGCTGGGTCAATCCCAAGCTGCCCGCCGGCGGGGCCGGCCATGCCTCTCACTGGGCGTCTCCTCCGAGGAGCCCTGCTCGCTGTGGGAGAGGAGTGTGTGAGCTCCGTGGACTGTCCCGGGGCTCTCAGTCGGCGGTGGCTTCTGTGCAGAGGGGGCCGCGAGGTTCCGGGTCCCTAACCCGCAGCCGGGAGCCTGGGAGGGGGCTCTCCCCGGGGCCCGGCTCCTCGGGGAGACCCCGGGGCCCCAGGAGAAGTGGCTTCGGGTCTGGGGTGGGGGGGGGCGAGGCGGGGGGAGAAGGGTTCCTGGCTTCCTCGGGGACAGACCCGGAATAAACTGAGGGCGGGGAGGGGAAGGGAGGCCTGGCCAAGGTCAAGGGAGCAGGGGAAGAGGGGAGGAGGGGAGGAAGGGAGGAGGGAGGAAGGGAGGAGGGAGGGAGGGAGGCCTGGGCCAAGGTCAAGGGAGAATGGGAGGAGGGGAGGAGGGAAGAAGGGGGAAGGGGAGGAGGGGAGGAGGGAAGAAGGGGAGGAGGGGAGGAGGGGAGGAAGGAGGAGGGGAGGAAGGGAGGAAGGAAGGAGGGGAGGAGGGGAGGAGGGGGGGAGAAGGGGAGGAGGAGAGGAAGGAGTAGGAAAGGAAGGGAGGAGGGGAGGAAGGGAGGAGGGGAGGAGGGGAGGAGGGGGAAGGGGAGGAGGGGAGGAGGGGAGGAGGGGGAAGGGGAGGAGGGGAGGAGGGGAGGAGAAGAAGAGGAGAGGAGGGGAGGAGGGGAGGAAGGAGTAGGAAAGGAAGGGAGGAGGGGAGGAGGGGAGGAGGGGGAAGGGAGGAGGGGAGGCCTGCAGCGGTCACTCCTGCTCCCCCGCAGCTGCCTCTGGGCTGGGTCTAAGCAGGAGCTCTGGGCGTGGGTGGCAGGGGGTGCTGCTGGCGAGGGTGTCTCCCTCGGTGGAACAGGCCGCTGGAATGGCCGGGAGAGGACACAGGCGCCTCCTCCCAAGCCGGGCGTGTGGGCACGGGAGGCCGCGTGCTCCGTGGTTATCTGCCCAGAAGCCGGGGCGCAGGCGGGGGCCGTGACGCAGAGCGGAGGCGGCGGGGGCCACAGGCGGGCGTAGAGAGCGGCCTTGCACAGTCGGAGCTGCGTCCGAGCCCAAGCTTTGCCGCTGCTGGCAGGTGACAGCCTCTGAGCCTTGGCCGTCCCGTCTGTGGAATGGGTGGGCAGAGGAACGTACCTTCGCGGTGGGTGTGAGTAAGGGGTCGGTACACTGAGGACGGAGCAGCGCCCGAGGTTCTGCCCAGAACTTTCCACAGGGGCTCCTTTGTGAGCTCAGGTGAGTCCGGGGCCAGTGCCCGGGGCTTGTTCGGAGTCACTCCATTTGGCTCAGAGGCAGGACTGAGCTCATTGGTATCTCTGCCCCCTCCGCCCACCCCACTCCCCTTCGCCCCTCCACGCCCCAACCTCTGCTGCAGGGCCGCTCTGAGCCATGCCCAGGACAGCGGCCAGGGCCTGTGGGTGTTTGGTTTGGTGTGGGTCACGTGGCTCTGGCAGTGCTTGTGCAGGGGCTGGGGCCTGATGACGGGGGGGGGGGGGGGGGGCGGTCGGGTGGGAAGCGGGGGGGGGGGGGGTCCCAGCTGAAGGATGTTCACACAAGCACAGCCTTCCATCAGAGCAGACCCACAGCCGTGTAGCCTCCTTTGCTTGGCTGCTGCAGAGAGAGAGAGAGAGAGAGAGAGAGAGAGAGAGAGAGAGAGAGAGGGAATGCACCCCACAGCAGAGCCCAGGAAATGGGGTCTCGGGTGGAGGTGTGGCCCTGGCCAGGTGCTGCCACACCCACAGCTCACTCTCCTCCAGCTTCATGTGCCTGCATTTGACTCATTTTTCCAAAATATATATTTTTATTGATGTCAGAGAGGAAGGGAGAGGGGGAGGGAGAGAGAGATATCAGTGATGAGAGGAATCATTTGTAATTCTGTGTATCACTGTGATTACCCCCCACACACATTCCTGAGCGCCCCTCACTGGAACCAGGCCTGCAACCAGGGCACATGCCCTGACCGGAATCGAACCGGGACCTCCTGGGTCACAGACTGGCACTAACCTGGAGCCCCAGCCTTTCTCTGGGAGGTGGCTCTTCGGTGTGGGTTCTCGGGAGTCGGCCTCCGGCTCTGTCCCCTGAGCAGCCCGCGGGCCGCACCACCTCCTGAGCCGTCCTCTCGCTCTCCCTCCAGCACCAGAGGCGCTGCCATGCAGCTCTGCCTGCTCCTCTGCCTGGCGCTGCTCAGCCCACAGGGCGCCAGCCTCCACCACCGGCACTTCTGGACCAAGAAGAGGGCCAGGGAGCTGCCGGCCACGGCCACGGCCGCCGTGGCCACGGCCACGGCCACCACGGCCGCCACAGCCACCCCTGCTCACAGGAACTTCACCTTTGACCTCTTCAGGGCCTTGGTGGCCGCCAGCCCCGGCCAGAACGTCTTCTTCTCCCCGCTGAGCGTCGCCATGCCGCTGGCCATGGTCTCCCTGGGGGCGCGGGCCCGCACGAAGGCGCAGATCCTGGAGGGCCTGGGCCTCCACGCCCGGGGGGCCCCCGAGGAGGAGGCCGCGCTGCACCGGGGCTTCCAGCGGCGGCTGCAGGGGCTGCGCCGGCCCCGGGGGGACCTGCAGCTGAGCCTGGGCAGCGCGCTGTTCGTCCGGCCGGCCGTGCGCGTCCGGGACGCCGTCCTGAGCGCCCTGAGGACCCTGTACCTGGCCGACGCCGTGCCCACCTGCTTTGAGGACCCCGCGGTGGCCCAGAGGCAGATCAACGCGTACGTGGCCCAGCGGACGGAGGGCAGGATCGTGGACCTGGCGAAGGACCTGGACAGCTCCGAGGTCCTGGTCCTGGTGAGCTACATCTTCTTCAGAGGTGAGGCCCCCGCGCCACCTGCACTTCCTCGTTCTGCTCCGCTGCTTCAGTGAAAAGCATGCTCCAGCCCGGTCAGTGTGGCTCAGTGGATGGAGCGTCAGCCCGGGACCAAAAGGTCCCAGGTTCGATTCCTGTCAGGGGCATGTGCCTTGGTTGCAAGTTCCTCCCCAGCCCCAAATGACAAGGGGGCCGTGGGGCTCAGCAGCCCCTGATGGCTCTGAAGGGGGTGACCTCTGGGGAATGGGTTCTTGTCCGAGCTTTCCCCCCCGGCCCCCTGCCGCTGAGAATCCCGTCTCTGTCCCGTCTGCCTCCAGCTAAGTGGGAGACGCGCTTTGACCCTCAGAGCACCCGCCAGCAGGCCTTCCACGTGGTCCCGCAGACGACGGTGCAGGTGCCCATGATGAGGCGCGAGGGCGAGTTCGACTACCTCCTGGACCGCAGCCTCTCCTGCAGGGTCGTGAGGCTGCCCTACCACGGCAACGCCACGGCCCTCTTCATCCTCCCCGGCGAGGGCCGCATGAAGAAGGCGGAGGCCGGCCTGGACCAGCACACCCTGGCCAGGTGGCTCAGGAAGCTCACCAAGAGGTATTTCCCACGGGACTGGCCAGCCCAGCCCTGCACCCCGCCCAGGGAGGCCATGTCCCTGGGCCACCGCTGGGGCCGAGCACTCACCAGCCCAGGAGCCCGAAGGCATCAGGGACGGCCCGGCCCCAGGGCCTGGCCCAGGTGCTGGAGTTGGGGATGGACGCTGCTTTCCTGGCGGTGCCATCGGAGGGGGCAGTGAGCCCTGGGCGGCCCAGTCCCAGTCAGAGTGGCACGGACTCTCCTCTAGACCAGGGGCGAAGGGTCACGTGGAGCTGAGGGGAGGCGGCAGGGACGTGGGCCGACAACCGGGTGCTCTGGAAGACTCTAGAAAGGTCCTCTTCTCCTCTCCTCTCCTCCTCTCTTTCCTCTCCTCTCCTCTCCTCTCTTCTCTTCTCCTCCAGGAGGCTCCAGCTCTCCCTTCCCAAGTTCTCCATCGAGGGCTCCTACCAGCTGGAGAAGGTCCTCCCCACGCTGGGCATCCGGGACCTCTTCACCTCCCGCGCCAACCTGGCCGGCTTCACCAACCACTCCGACATCCAGGTGTCCCAGGTGAGCGGCCCTGGGCTCCTGCCTCCAGAGACTGTCTGTTCTTCCTGTTCTTCCTGTTCTTTCTGTTCTGTTCTGTTCTGCTCATTCTATTATTTCTATTCTATTCTATTCTATTCTATTCTATTCTATTCTATTCTATTCTATTCTATTCTATTCTATTCTATTCTATTCTATTCATTCTATTCTTTCTATTCTATTCCTTCTATTCTTTCTATTCTATTATGTTCTATTCTATTCTTTTGTTCCGTCCCATCATACCCCATCCCATCCCATCCCACCCCACTCCTCTCCACGTTCCATAGTCTTTCTTCCTCCTCTTTTCCTTCAAGAAGCGGTCTCGGTGTCTCATACCCTCTGTGCAATGAGAAGCCACACCAGCCTGCCTTGGGGGAAGGAGCCCTGGATTAAACCATCAAAACTCAAAACCAGGCGGCAGCTCCTCCCTCCTTAGCTGCGTGGCCTCCAGCGCTGCCCTGACCTCTCTGAGCGCCCTCCCTCTGTAAAGTCTGAGCGGCCACCCTCGCCGCCGTGAGACGCCGCGAGAATTCGCTGAAACGCGCGGGCACGGGCCGGGCGCCCAGCGCTGGGCCATCGCCTCGCTCCCACCTGGCTGCGCGCGGCTGTGGGGGCCTTGGTCAGGGACACGGGGCGGCAGTGGCTTTGCCCGCGGGCCGTCCCCGCCAGCCCGGTGAGTGGTGCCCGTGTCTCCGGCAGATGGTGCACAGAGCCGTGGCAGAGGTGGACGAGGCGGGGACGCAGGCGGCCGCAGCCACGGGCGTGGTGGTCGCGTTCCGGTCGGCCCGAGTGGGCGCTCAGACGATGGTGTTCGACAGGCCCTTCCTGCTGGCCATCGTGAGCGCGGAGGGCGTGCTCTTCCTGGGCAAGGTGGTCCGCCCCGCGGGGGGGCCCGCCCCCTCCCCCGCCCCCGCCCCCTGAGCCCGGCCCCCGCGGAGGGGCGTCTGCGGCCGTCCATCTGTGCGGCCTCAGGAGACGTGCACGCTTAGGGACCGGCGAGGCTTCGGCAAGCAGCAGCAGCAGCAGCACCAACTCGGTGCCAGGACGGCTTCTTCCCAAGCCCGGCGAGGCCAGGCGCCCCACGCAGCCAGGGGGACACCCGGTCACGCCTCCCCCTCACCAGTGACCATTCCCACTGAGGCCCCAGAGCTGGATGGACTTGTCCGAGGCCGCACGGCGGTTAGAGGCCCAGGATGGCCCCTGGCTCCCAGCCCAGCCACCGGCCGGCCCCACAGGACGGTGCTTCCAGCAGACATTCCGCCAGGAAGCCTGTGCCCAAGCCCAGCCCCACCCCTGGTCAGTGGCACCGGCCGCCTGTCCTGACGGCGGGAGGGGGCTGGGAGGGAGGCGGCAGTGTGGCCCTGGCCGGCCAGCCGGCTGTGTGACGTGGGGTCATACTTCTCGCTCTGGACTCGGTTTCCCCGAGGACGCACTGAAGGCTCAGGTGGAGGACAGAAGGGTCCTGACATCGGTCCAAAGGCTGGGGTGTCACCGGCCAGTCACCGCACATGTCACCCCTCCTCCTTTGGGAAAGCGAGGGGACCGCGGGGGGACGTGGCCCGCCCAGGCCGTACCATCCCGGGAGGAAACCACCACCCCGGGGTGTGGCCGGGGAGTGGGAGGCCTGGCCTGGGCTGTCGTTGGGAGACGCCTGCCTGGGTGCGGGCCGTAGGCCGCCGTCGCAATAAAGCGTTGGCAGACACGGGTGTCATTGTCCTGAGGGGGCAGCTCTGGGAATGGTGGCCTTCCCGGCGCATCCGGCGAGGTGCCAGGCGCTGGCTGCGCTGGACGGCTGCGCCTCCCTTCACAACATCCCCCACGAAACGGCGTACTGTCCCCATTCCACAGACGGGCACAGTGAGGCCGGCGGAGAGCAGGTGGCTTCCCCATCACAGCTCCTGGGGGCGAGGCGGGATCTGCCTCTGATCGGGGCCGGCCTCACGTGAACAGGAGACAGAGGCCGGAGTCAGCCCACCTTGGCCCCAAGCTCCCCCGGCCCCTCTTTCCCCTCCCCCCAGTGACCCAGGCAGGGCACCCTCCTTACAGAACCCACCCCACTTCCCTATCCATCCACCCTAAAGGGCCCTGGATGAAAAGCAAACCAGTATTTCCCTCAGTCTCACCCCGTCCCCTGCCCTCCTGCCCCCAGCTCTGCCCCTGCTCTGCGCATCCTCCCTGCAGGCAGCCCCACGTGCTGGCCTTGCTCTCCGAGGGGCTGCCCACACGCTGACCCGGGGGCCGGACTGCGTCACAAGGGTGCCCCTGAGAACTAACAAGACCGGAACCCCAGGCTGTGAGCATCCCCCACGGTCCTAAGCACCTCCTCCTACCAGTCAAAGGGAACACTCCTCTGTATCCGTGATGGACCTCAGTAATCCCTGGACAGCCCTGCGGCTTGTGCCCATCTCACTGAGGGGAGCCGAAGTGCCTGCCTGGAGCCCGCAGCTGACGGCAGGGCCCGGCCCCGGCCTGGGACCCAGGTGGCATGCCTTGGCTGGTGGCAGGGCAGCTGGCTCACCCCAACCAGACAGCTTGTCTGCGTCTGTGACTCAAGCTCAGGATGGCTTCCCGGGACCAGGCCTCCCGGCCGGCCGGGCGCCTCTCCCTTGCGACATGCCGCCTCTGCTTCGGCAAACACGCCTGGTGCTTACCCGGCCAGGCCAAGGCCAGGAGCCCTCCCCGTGGGACGGGAAGGCCGAGGTCCACTGCCGTCTGACGTGACGGGGCACATGGTGGCACAGCAGCTTCTGTGTGCGCCTTCGGGTGGGTGGGCTCTGGGGCCACGCGGGAGCCAGGCTGCGGGGCACACCCTCCAGCGCCCCCCGGGGGCTGGCAGGCTGTGAGACCCCCATTGTCACTGGTCTGAGAGGAACAAAAGCCTATAGCAGCCCGGAGAGAAAGACAGAGAGACAGAGCCGGAGAGAGACTGACGGAATGAACCTCTGGGGTTCGGGAAGACTTCCGGGAAGAGGCGCCACGAGCTGCCCCTGAGGAATAAATACGTGGGACCAGGACAGACTGCAGTTTGGGGGCAGGAAGGGGGCTTCCAGGCCCAGGGCACAGGGGCTGGGGAAGAGCATGGGCTGAGTGGCTGCGGGGTGAGCGGGAAACCCACACCTCCTTCCGGACCAGGAGGGGGAAGGGGGGGCTGTGCCTGCAGCCCCGTGACAGGGACCCTGCCGCAGCTGGTGGCTCGTCTGCGCCTGGCTTGAGAGTAGTTTGGCCATCATGCTGCACCCGAGCGCTCTCGCGCGCACGCACACACACACGCACACACACACGCACACACACACGCACACACACACGCACACACACACGCACACACGCACACACTCATTCCTCTTGGCCCTCACTGTCCCGGCTGCATGTCAGTAGAGGAACCCATTCAGCCCTCTAGGGGGCGCTCCCTCCAAGACTCCTCGGGGAGGATGCCCCTACCTTCCCCGCCCCACTGGCCCTGCCCCTGAGGGGCCTCACGGTCCCTCCTGGTGCCCAGGTGCTGGGTCGGCAGGTGCCGGTGCCCCTCGGGGCGTTTCCTGGGGCCGTCATGACCAAGTGGCCAGACCGGGCGGCTTGCCAGCAGAAACGGGTTGTGGGTTTGATTCTAGGTGAGGGCACAGACCTAGGTAGGGGGTTGGATCTCCGGTTGGGGTGTGTATAGGGGACAACCAACTGGCGCTCCTCTCCCCTAGTTCTCGGTATCTCTCTTTCTCTCCCTCTTCCTTCCTGCCTCCTACAACCCAGACGAATACCCTCGGGGAGGACTTAGAGAAGAAGTGTGGGTGTGTAGGTCCAGGCAGGGGTGGGAGAGGAAAAATAAAGCCAGAATCAGCCAACCCGGGAGAAAGGAAGTCTGCTCCCACCCAGAGCCCACGCCCCGTCACCTTTGCCCTCCGCCACCCGCCTGGCGGAGCCGGTGTTTGGGTTGAAAGGTCCTGCAAACACCCTCTGTGTTTGTGCCGCGCTGAGTGGCCGGGCACTGCGCTGCGAAAGGACGAACGGCAGTCTTGGCCTTGGGAAGATGGGAGCCCACACCCCCAGGGGGCCAGCCCGTGGCGTGGGCTGCGGTCCGTGGCACGCCGCGTGGGCAGGAGGTGGTGGCTGCCGTGTGTCTGGGGCGGCTGCAGATGCTGCCTGACCCCAGCCTCCCTGGACTCCAGCATCCCACAGGGGGCACTGCGTCGCCTTCCTGGCCGCCGGGAGGGGGAGGGCCGGGAGGAACCAAGGCTGGGGGCGGGCAGGCACAAACACCGATGGACGGAGCTGCTGGCACCAGCCCCGCCCGCGCCGAGCTCGGCCATGTGTGGACCCGAACACGGGCGGGCAGTTAGCCTCCTGCCCGGTGTGCTGCGGGTGACGTGGGCTGAGGGCAGCCTCGGGACAGCCTGCTAGTCCAGCCCCCCAGCCCTCCCAGCCCTCCCAGCCCTCCCAGTCCTCCCAGTCTTCCCAGCCCTCCCAGCCCTCCCAGTCCCCCAGCCCTCCCGGCCCTCCCGGCCCTCCCAGCTCTCCCAGTCCCCCCGGCCCTCCCGGCCCTCCCGGCCCTCCCAGCCTTCCCAGCCCTCCCGCCCCCCCCCCCCAGCCCTCCCAGTCCTCCCAGTCCTCCCGGCCCTCCCAGCCCTCCCAGCCTTCCCGGCCCTCCCAGTCCTCCCAGTCCTCCCGGCCTGCCCGCAGGACTGGCTTCTGTGTCCCAGGCCACGCTGACTGCGGGGTCCCTCGGCTCTTTTGAAGGCTCCAGAAAACCTTGGTTTCAGGTGAGTGGGGGCTGCCAGGGTGGGAGGGACGGCTGGAGCGGGAGCCATGGCCCCCAGCCAGCGTGGTGGACCTGCCGCATGTCACCTCACGAGTCACACAGGAGCAGGCACATATGTGAACACACATGTACACAGGACAGCAGAGCCTGGCTGAGTGAGCCAGGACTCCCCCTGCACCCTGCACTGCCCCCGCTGCCCCATACCTCCTCTGCACTCTGCAAGTCCAAGGGCGCATCCTGGCGGGAAGAGGGGTCAGCGGGGGAGGCTCTGAGTGGGCCCAGGGGACACGCTGTGTGAGCAGGACAGGACGCGGGGGAGCTGGGAGGCCCACACACAGGCCAGAGCGGCTGCGGTGGTTCAGGGGATTGAGCCTGAGGCCTCTGGGTGCTGCCCCTCGGGGCAAACCAATGGAACCCTGGGTGCACTTCGGGGCCGGGCACCCGGGGGCACAGTGGGTGGTGTGGCTGCTTCTGTTCAGACGGGATGCTGCTTGGGGGTCCCTCACATCTCACAGTGACTCCACCCCACCAGACTCCGGGTTCAAGTCCTGACTTCACCACCTACCAGCTGTTTGACTTCGGGTGAATTACTCAGCCTTTCCTCTGTCTTCTTATCTGTGAAATGGGAGTGTGAACACGGTGACATGAGGGTGTGAACACTGTGACAGGGGGTGTGAACACGTGACATGGGGTGTGAACACTGTGACATGAGGGTGTGAACTTGTGACATGGGGGTGTGAACACGTGACATGGGGTGTGAACACTGTGACCTGGGGTGTGAACATGTGACATGGGGTGTGAACTCGTAACATGGGGGTGTGAACACATGACATGGGGTGTGAACACTGTGACATGAGGGTGTGAACTTGTGACATGGGGGTGTGAACACATGACATGGGGTGTGAACACTGTGACCTGGGGTGTGAACATGTGACATGGGGTGTGAACTCGTAACATGGGGGTGTGAACACATGACATGGGGTGTGAACACCGTGACATGGGTGTGAATACTGTGACATAGGGGGTGAACATGTGACATGGGTGTGAACACTGTGACATGGGTTGTGAATGCTGTGACATGGGAGTGAACATGTGACATGGGGTGTGACATGAGGGTGTGAACGCTGTGACATGGGAGTGAACATGTGACATGGGGTGTGAATGCTGTGACATGGGGGTGTGAATGCTGTGACATAGGGGGTGAACATGTGACATGGGGTGTGAATGCTGTGACATAGGGGTGTGAACGCTGTGTCATGGGAGTGAACATGTGACATGGGGTGTGAACGCTGTGACATGGGGTGTGAACACTGTGACATGGGGTGTGAACATCTCTGACCTGGGGTGTCAGAGCCGTGCCTCCCCGTAGTGCTGTGAGGATGAAGAGGGGAGGCCAGGGAAGTGTGGGCATAGAGCAGACACTGTATACCAGTGAGAACTATTCCCTTTGTTGTTGTCCTCGCCCCTGCTTCCAGACCAAGGACCCCGTGGATGGAGGCCCCTCGGCGGTGGCTGCTTGTCCTTGCGCTCATGGCCGTGGGCCATTGCCTGGCCCTGGCCAACCAGGAGGACTCTGGCCCCATGCCCGGCCCCCAGGACGGGCCTCCTGGGCCGGCCCTGCCCTGCCATAAGCTCTCCGTGAGCAACATAGACTTTGCCTTCAACCTCTACCGGCAGCTGGCCTCCGAGGCCCCGGGAGAGAACGTCCTCTTCTCCCCGGCCAGCGTCTCCCTGGCCTTGGCCACCCTCTTCCTCGAGGCCCCTGCCGCCAGCAGGGCCCCGCTCCTGGAGGGCCTGGGCTTCAACCTCAGCCTGGTTCCCGAGGCCGAGATCCAGGAGGGCTTCCGGGACCTGCTGCTCAGGCTCCCCGTGCGGAGCCCCCCGCTCCTCCTGACGGTGGGCCAGCGCAGGTTCCGCGGCCTGGGCCCGGCGGCCGCCCAGACGGACATCCGGGAGCACGTGGAGAAGCAGACCCAGGGGCGGCTCGGCGCCTGGGGGCAGGAACTCAGCGATGCCACCACGGAGGTCCTGGTGAGTCACCTGCTCCTCAGAGGTAAGAGGGGGTCCATCCATGGCCCTCCCTCCGGGGCCCCAATCGCTCCTCACAGCATCCAGAGCCTCCCTGCTGACTCCCAAATAGGAGGTCCACGGATCCTCGATGCTTCTGCTTGAATACCGCCAGCGGCGGGGAGCTCACTACCTATCGCATTTTAATACTTCCTGTTGAGGTTTTTTCAAAGAAGGATTTTTTCCAGCCTGAGTGTACACGCACTCCCTGGGGAGCCCGCTTACCACGCGGGCGTCTTGCACGTGTCCCCAGAAGATTCTGATTTCGGGGCCAGGTCAGTCAGGGACCCGAGACCCTGCACATGAGGACAGTCTCCGTCCTCCTGCGGGGACGCTGCTGCAGGCGGCTGTGACCGCCACTGGGGGGAGTCCGGGAGCAGGAGCCTGGGTCCTCCGGCAGGTCCCGGGGCGTGGGTGAGAGCAGGGAGGGCCCGGCGCTGGGAGAGCAATGAGATCACGTGCTCGCTCCTTAACCCCCCGTCCTCAGCAGAGGAGCCGTCCCCTTGTGTCTGTGTCTCCGGGAACTCACACCCACGTCTCCATGTGACCTTCCCCCGGATGAAGCTCAGGCTGTGGCCGATGTTTCCCTTCCACACGTGAGCAGACAGATTCATGTTAAAAGAAGGACCGATTGGTCTGAGCCTCTAAGGCATGACTTACTACATGCCTACGAATAGGTCTCGTCTGGCGTATGTAAGGTTACACACACACAATCTGAGTACCTTCATGCCGGTCACTGTGCATATTTGATTTTACGGAACTCTCCTCACAGCCCAACAAGGCGATGTTATTATGTTCACTGGAGAGACGGGGAAACTGAGGCCCAGGGTTAGGTGACTTGCTTGGGCCTGCCAGCCAGGTCAAGCCAACCTCTCAGATCCACACGTGTTTTAGAGCAGCTGGCACCACATGCTGGTTTTTTCCCCTTTAAACTTCACCCCCTCTGGCCGGAGCCGGTTGGCTCAGTGGATAGAGCGTCGGCCTGCAAACTGAAGGGGCCCGGGTTCGATTCTGGCCAAGGGCACATGCCCAGGTTGTGGGCTCATGCCAGTGGAGGGCGTGCAGGCGGCAGCCGGTCAATGATTCTCTCTCGTCACTGATGTTTCTCTCTCTTCCTCCCCCTTTCTCTCTGAAATCAATAAAAATATATTTTAAAAACATTTTTTCTAATTAACCACCCAGAAGGAGGGCGAGGAGGCCAGAGAGCACACAGCCTTCGCTCTCTGGCTCTGTCCGTCCCTGTCCCTGAGCCAGCACTCCCCGTCCCACAGAGACACAGCGAGGGCACAGGGATGAGGGACAGGCCCAGGGGCAGTGGCAGCGGGGCTTGGCGTCCACTGTGTGCCTCCTCCCCCCGGTGGGCTGCCCGATGGGTGACCCGGGGCCCGTCCTCCCTCCTCCACGGCGACCCCGCTGTTCTCGTCCCTGCAGCCGGATGGGCGCGGCCCTTCGACCCGAGAGCCACGGGCCTGAAGGAGTTCTTTGTGGACGAGCACAGGGCCGTGCCGGTGCCCATGATGAGGCAGAAGGCCCGCCACCGCCTGCTGCACGACGGCGAGCTGCAGTGCACGGTGCTGCAGATGGAGCACGCCGCCAACGCCTCCACCTTCTTCGTCTTCCCGCGGCCCGGCGCGCTGGCGCAGCTGGAGGACGCCCTGCTGCCCGAGACACTCATCAAGTGGGACCGGCAGCTCCGGGCCAGGCACGCTCACAGGGGCACCCCCAGTGATGTTCCCCCTGGCACTGTCCCCCGGGCACTGACCCCCAGGGCCCTGTCCCCCCGGGCACTGTCCCCCCCAGGACAGATGTTGAGTGGAGGATGGAGGGCCCAGGACAGATGTTGAATGGAGGACCCAGGACAGATGTTGAGTGGAGGACAGTGGGTCAGGACAGATGTTGAGTGGAGGATGGAGGGCGCAGGACAGATGTTGAGTGGAGGACGGAGGGCGCAGGACAGATGTTGAATGAAGGATGGAGGGCGCAGGACAGATGTTGGATGGAAAGGAGGGGCTGGAGGGGCAGGGAGACCGGAGGAGGGGGTGAGAAGCTGCAGACCTGGAGCTGCGTTGGGCCAGGCTGGAGCATACAGAGCCCCTGGGACACACGCAGCTGCTTCTGGGGTCTCAACAGCGAGCCCATCTGTCTCCGCAGAGAACTCGACTTCCACTTCCCCAAGTTCTCCATCGCCAGCACCGCCCGCCTGGAGCTGCTCCTCCCGGGGGCGGCCGTGGGCGGAGGCCTCCCCGGGCAGCCCGGCCTGAACGTCTCCACGGTAACCTGGGCCCCAGTTCACGGGGGTCTCCATGGCTGCAGAGCGGCTGTTTCCTGGCGCATCGCCATCTGTGCCCGGCCTGTGCCCCATTAGTGCACATCCGCCCCACAGCACCGGCCCGGGCGCAGGCTCCCTGCCCTCGGGGGGCAGCCAGGACAGGGGGGCTCAGGGGGTACACACCTGCAGGCTGGACCCGCGGAGGAAGCGCTGGGGTTCCTTCCTGGTCATGGGCCCTGGGATAAGCTGTGCAGAGAAGAGACTGAGCCGGCCGGCGGGGCTCAGGGCTGAGCGTCAGCTATGAGCCAGGAGGACCTGGTTCGATTCCCGGTCAGGGCACAGGCCCGGCTGGTGGGCTCCATCCCCAGTGTGGGACGTGCAGGAGGCAGCCAACCATTGATTTTTTTCTCATCATGGAAGGTTCTGTCTCTCTCCACCTCCCTTCCTCTATGAAATCTGTAAAAATATTTTTTTAAAAAAAATAAAGGTCTGGTTGATCCCTCCTGTGGGGTCAGCTGGTGATTCCAGAATGTTCCTTGCAGGTTGCACACAAGGCTGCGATGACGCTGGACGAGGGGGGCACAGAGGCGGCTGCCGCCACCAGCGTCCAGCTCACGCCGGGACCCCGCCCCGACCTCGACCCCTCGCCCGCTCCCCACACTGAGGAATTCAACCGGCCCTTCCTGCTGATGACCTTCCACACGGGCACCGGGAGCCTGCTGCTGCTGGGGAAGGTCGTGAACCCGCTGGGGTGACGGCTGGCTGACCCCAGGGGCGCGGGACCGGGTCGGCATCCGGGTCCTCGGGCCACACGTCCCCGGGGGGCCGGGGTCCCTCTCCGTCTGGAGGCCCAATGGGGCTGCCTTCATGCCGTGGGGGCGCAGGGCCCCTCGCACCGGCCTCATGCAGCCACGCAATCACCCTGGGTGGACACCCACGCCAGGAGCTCCTGGGCAGAACCCTGTTCTGGCTCTGGGTGTGGGCTCAGGGGGCCGTGGGGGAGGCGAGAGAGGGGGGCCAGGCTGGGCCCCGAGTGGACACCTGCTGTGTGCCAGGGCACCCTGTGTCTGAACTCGTTTCAAATGAAGCCCCGCAGCAGCCTAACGAGACAAGTGTCCGGTGTGACTGCGTGGCCTTCAGCTGGTTTCTGCGACCGAACCCTGTCTGTCCCCTCGTGCGGCGGAGGCTCGGGCTAAGACACACCCCGAGGCCGCTCACGAGGGGCAGCGTGGCTGGCATCGGGGGGGGGGGGGGTTGTTTCAAAGCCCAGGCCCTGCCATCCCCATCCCCGCGCCCCCCGGGCGAGGCTCCAGCGTGTGGTGTGCACGGTCCCCGGGCCTCCGTGAGAGGCCCCCACGCCAATTTGTCATTTATTTATTTATTTATTTATTTATTTATTTATTTATTTTTACAGAGGAAGGGAGAGGGATGGAGAGTTACAAACATCGGTGAGAGAGAATCATTGATCAGCTGCCTCTTGCACACCTATTGGGGATGTGCCCGCAACCAAGGTACATGCCTTTGACTGGAATCGAACCTGGGACCCTTCAGTCTGTAGGCTGACGCCCTATCCACTGAGCCACACCAGTCAGGGCCATCACACGGATTCTGCAGGTCTGAGCTGGCTGGGACTGAGGTCCCGGTGCCGAGGCGGGTCCGGTGCCCCCTGGAGCGGGTGCTGACTGCCCCGTGGCCCAGGGAGAGAGGGGTTGGCAGGCGGGGTGGCCCCGGCCCGTGCCTCGCGGGGCTGAGCAGTCCGGCAATGCTCACGGAGCCGGCGGGGCTGGGGAAGCTTGCTTTAGGGTCATTTTGGGGGAATCAGTGTCCTGAACGAGGCGTGTGGGCCCATGCTGGGCTCCGCTCCACATCAGCCACACATGGAGACTGAGCCCACCTCCTGCTTTAGTGTCTGTGGCTCCGACAGCGGAAGAACCACATCTGAGCCGGCTTTCAGGGCCGAGCAGTGCCAGGGCGGCCTGGAGGTCAGGGGGCTGGCAGTCGGGGTGCTGGCTGCCCTGCTGGGGCCAGGCTGAAGGTTGAGGGCCTGGAAGTCCTGGGCTATCCCCACAGGAGAGCAGAGGACAGAGACATGGAGGTCAAGGAGAGAGGGAGAGAGGTGTTAGCACAGACCCAGCTCATCCTCTCTCTCTCTCTCTCTCTCTCTCTCTCTCTCACACACACACACACACACACACACACACACACACACGCACGCATGCACGCAGGCATGCACACACACACACGCATACATGCACACATGCACACACACACGCACATGCACACAGGCACGCAGCAGGCCGGGCAGGGAGGGAGAGCAGCCCGGGGAGGGCGCAGAGCAGGCGGCGGGGCAGGAGTGGACAGTCCACGGACCGAGCGGAGGGAAATTGCTTCCAGAGGCCCTGGGAGCACCCGCCGCCGGCACCCAGGGGGTCAGGTCCCCGCGCCGCTGCCTGGACCAGGATGGGGGGCGGGCCGGCTGCTGGAGAAAATCTCCCAAACCAGGCCTGGCGTCCCCTCTGATGGCCCTGCGCCGGGGGGGGGGGGGGGGGGGGGGGAAGTGGTCCAAGATGGTGGCTCCACACGCACTCCAGGGCCATCCGGCACCGCGGGGCCGCGGTGACCTGAGCGCCGACGGTGAGCCCGCAGCCAGGGTCCCTGAGCGGGGCCGCTGCTCCCGGGCAGCAGAGGCTGGACACAGCCCCGCTGGGGGGACAGGCTAGGGGCCGGGTCCCCTAAACACCCCCAACCCTCCTGCTCCCCTTCCCGTCGTGAACACACTCACGGCGCGGCCTGCCCGTTAGCGCACATTTCCTTGTTCCTCCTCCTCACCATGGAGCACTGAGCCCAACCAGCCCGGGCTTTTCACGTGCTTTCACCTGTGAAATCACGTCTTATCAGCTAGAGCCGCGGTTCCCAGCCTTCCTCGTGCCTTCTCCCTCTCTCCTCGGCCTCCTCCTCTGCCCTCTGCTCTCCGGCGGGGACAGCCCAGGGCCCCAGGGCCCCAGCTCTCCGTGTGCCGGTGACCCCAACCATAATGTCATGTTCGTTGCTCCTTCATCGCTGTGATTTTGCTGCTGTTAATGAATAACAACGTAAATACCTGCGTTTTCGATGGGCTTAGGCGACCCCTGTGAGAGGGGTCGTGACCCACAGGCTGAGAACGGCTCTCAGAGCCTCAGACCATCGGGACGCCCGGTGAGGTCTCCCCTGTGCAGCCGGGGCCCAGCCCCCGCTCGCCCTCTGCCAGCCCGGCTCTTGGCGGGACTCAGCTGTGCACTGACAGAGCGGGGAGCTGGGGGCCAGCGTCAGGGCCCGGAGGCCTCCGCTCCCTTCGCTGCCTGGGCCCCCCTGAGGCGCCCTCTGCTGGGAGCTCCCAGCACAGTCTCCCGTGATGTCAGCCGGCGCCGTGTCCCACCACAGGAGGCCCTGCAGCGCTCACTGTCCTGTGGCCCAGCACGTGGGAACGTGGGTGAGGGGAAGACCGTCTGTGAGCAGCTCAGCCCGCTCTGTGCTCACCTCGCGTCCTGCCGAGTCCTCTGCGCCTCCGCCTCCAGTTTAATGACTCTACAGGGGCTTGCCCTGACCGGTGTGGCTCAGTGGATAGAGCGTCGACCTGCAGACTGAAAGGTCCCGGGTTCGATTCCGGTCAAGGGCATGTACCTTGGTTGTGGGCACATCCCCATTGGGGGGTGGTGCAGGTGCAGGAGGCAGCTGATCGATGTTTCTCTCTCATCGATGTTTCTAACTCTCTGTCCCTCTCCTTTTCTCTCTGTAAAAAAATCAATGATATATATATTTAAAAACAAAAAGGGGGGAGGGAAGTTGGAGAAGTCAGTAGCTTTCACACTACACAGAAGGGAGAGGAAGAGGAAGAAGAGGGAGGAGAGGAAGAGTGAGGGGGAGGGAGGAAGGCTCCTTTGCACATGGTGACAAAGGCTAGGACCGATAGATTGGCCAGGAACATACCTGAGAAATGTGCCAGCTGCCGTGGGAAGGGTGTGCTGCCTGTTGCTGAGGATCAAGGAGACTCAGACAAATGGGAGGATGCACCCGGGACCCAGACAGGTGGACTCGGCCCCTGAGCATCTCAGTCCTTCCCACGTTGAGGTCTGAGTTTAACAGGGACTCAGTGGGATTCCAAAATCCACGTGAAGCAATAAATAAGCAAGAATGGTTAGTAAAACTATAAAAAAATAAAGTAGGTGTGGGGAGGGCTAGCCTGGCCAGACATGACCTATTATAACATTTCCAATTCAGTGATAAAATTATAATTTATTAATTATAGGACATATAACTAAAACCATACGGTACATGAATAGACAGACTAATCAATGGAACAAAATAGAAAATCTGCAAATAGTCCCAAATACCTAATGGAATTTGGACTCTGATAAAGAAGGCATTTCAAATTAGTGGAGAAAATGTGGAATTGTCATCGAATTGAGCTAAGACCACAACGTCTCCATCTGGAGTTAAAAAGTTGGATCCAACATTTTTGTCGTAATCGTCGGGCCTGTTCAAAAAATTTCCACTCTCCCTCTCCTTCCAACCACGTGGTTTGCTTTCATCCGCGAAATGTGAACGTAAGCATCCCCCTTCCAAGAGGAAGCCCTGAGCAGCCAGGGGTGAGTCCCTGAGACTCAAGGTTCCTGCCACAGCGACCCCACGGTGTCCCCACCAGCGTGCTCTGTCAGCAGGGGCCCGGAGTCCCCAGCCAACCCCAAATAAACCTGAATGTGAGCAAGAATTAGCTTTGGTTGGCCTCAGCGACTGGGACGTGGGGTTCTTTGTTACTGCAGCCATTTGCTGATCCTGACTATTGCCTTCACAGCACGCACCAGGATAAATTTCATAGACATTAAAGATTTCAATGTGAAAATGAACGCCACGGGTTAATGACAGTCTACAGAAACGAAATCCCTGCATACAGTGGATACGACGCAGACAAAAAGGATGAGTAAACTCTTCGAGACTTTTGAGGCAGGGATCTGGGGAAATCTCACGTGTCTGTCTCTGGGGACGGGACCTGGCGCTGGGAGAGGCGTGGAGGAGGGTTTCACTGTATTTCTTTCATCCATTTTGAATTTTGAACCAGGGACTGCTACCTCTTGCCAGTCCACTGGAAGTAAGTTGCAGACATCAAGGCGCACGTGTACACTTGCACACACGTGAGCCAGCACACAGCAGCCTCAGCGAGGAAGGGACACCCAGGCAGGCGCCCTCCGGCCGGGTGCTGTGTGCGAGCCTAAACATCTGCTCTCGCGATGAACACGCCCAGGCCCCTGGAGACGGGAATGTGTCTCCACACTTTTGCCCCACGTCGCCACACAGGAGACACGTGTGTCCAAATGCCGGGAAGGGCGTGGCTCGGTCCCTGTTGGCCCGGAAGCAGAGCTCGCCTCTCACTGGGGAGGGTCTGCGTGCCTGGCCAGGGGAAGGTGCGTGCGACCACCTGTCCGCGGCCGAGCCTGGCCTGAAGCTCCTTTCTCAGAAGGACCAGCTTCCGCTCCGCTGCTTTCATGGCGCGGCGTGCGCTGCGGGAGGTGCTCCCCAATCAGCCCCGCGTTCTCCCCATCGCACACGGCTCCGTTACTCCCCGTCTGTGTGACACGGGTCTAGACAAGCCCACGTGACGCTGCGATGGGTTCTGCACCTCGCCAATCATGCCGGGTTGCCAAGGGGTCTCTGCTCACCACGGTGCTTCATAAGACGGCGTTTTAAAGGAGATAAATCGTGCTGTGTTCGAGCGATTCTA